CGTGAGTCCTCCACATCCCCGGCAGCCTCTTGGGCAAAGCACGTGACAACAGGCTCGGTCACGTGAGCGCCTGTGGAATCAGCTGTTGCTGTCCTGTTCAGTTCCGTAAAGTGCAACAGCTGGCAGAAACTGCCTCAGAGCTTTAAATGATATACAAGTCTGGAGTCAGAAGTAAAACAAAATAGTACCGAAGGAAACAGAAACTCACAGAAGTGTTGAGCAGGATTCGGTCCGCCCGGCCCATCGAGCCCGCACTGGCAGGTCAAACGACTAAATTACCTAGCGTCAACCTTCATATTAAAACGTCATAAAAAAGTATGAGTGAATTTCCCCAAGACTGTAAACTTCTCATTATATTTCCCTGAACAATGTACTTTCCAGACAATTTCATTATAGATTAACTAAACTATGAGCTGAATTTTATGCTTTTATTGGTGAAGTCCAAATTGCTTCAGGTTTTTTGGAGGGTTTGTCGCCACAAAACCCGGTGATTTCTCTTGCTGGATCGCACCAAATTCACCTCATTTGTTACAGGCCACACCCCTATGGCACCCCTCATGTTTGATTTTTCAACCCACTTACCATGCACTGCTCCTGGAATAACTCACCAATCAATGGATATCCCAGAATTCGCTGGCATCCTTTGTACTCATGCCATCTTTAAAAGAGACAACAAGGTGCAGGGCTGGATGAACACAGCAGGCCAAGCAGCATCTTTAAAAGGCTGTTGTGCACCTGGTCAAGCACCATCAGTCCAATGCTGCACTGCACGGTTCCTGACATTTGCCACAGAAATGAGAGACAGGGAAAGTCAGCACCTTGCCTTATGAGCATTGACCTGGAGATCCTACTGGAGGGTGGTGGACTTCCTCTTCCCTCAGGACCAGCATGGAAGGCCACAACATCATGCCATGCCTACCTGGTCTGAACTTGTCACCCAAGTCGGTGCAGTCTCACCATTTTGTGGAATGCAAAACACAGTGGGAGGAAGAGCAATCTACTCCACTCTGCCGGCTTATGTTCCACCACTTTCTCTCTGCTATGGCACACTGATTTTATCTTTGCCACTATGCTCAACTCCCACCAAGGCTCATGTTCTACCAGTCTCACTAGGGTGCAGAAAAGATTTACAAGGATGTTGCCAGGACTGGAGAGTTTGAGCTATAGGGAGAGGCTGAATAGGCTGGAGATTTTTTTGCCTGGAGCATGGGAAGCTGAGGGATGACCTTATTGAGGTTCATAAAATCATGAGGGGCATGGATAGAGTGAATAGCAAAGCTGGGAATGATTTAAAAAGGCCTTGAAGGGTAACTTTTTTTACATAGAGGGTAGTGCGTGTATGGAATGACTGCCAGAGGAAATGGTAGATTAGGGTACAATTACAACATTTAAAAGGTGTCTGGATGGGACTATGAGTAGGAAAGGTTTAGAGGCATATGGGCCAAAAGCTAGCAAATGTGATTAGGTCTGATTGGGATGTCTGGTCAGCATGGATGAGTTGGACTGAAGGGTCTGTTTCCCTGCTGTATGACTCTATGACTGTATTGCCTGCAACATCTTCCCCAATTGCTCTTACTCACCTAAACCCCTGACTGCACTAATGGTGCATGATCTTTGTGCTGACCACATAATCATTCAGGACATCTCCCCACCTGCACCACGAGTAACAGATACACCATCCACTTTTATGTTCTGCAAATCTTGTCTCCCTTTCATTCCAGGAGGAAAACAGCCCACAATAGGACCGAAAGACTCAAGACAGGTTATGGGCTGCCCAACATTCAGCTCCTCGCCCCTTATGAGGAAAGAATCCTGACTGAATGACTGCTCCAAGCAGGTCCTGGATTGTTCACAGAAACTGCGTTTGACTTATTGTGCTGGGATTACCTGAGGAAAAACTTGAGTAAGGCCTGCTGACAACTATAACAAGCTTTTATGTTTGTGCTAAACCACAAGACAAGACAACAGTAATATGAGCCTGTTATCTCTGGCTGAGGGAACAAAATGAAGAAAAGGCAAGTCAGTAAGCATCCAGGTAGGCTTAGCACAAGTGAGCACTCTGAGAGCAAATTAACAGCCCAGACATACAGCCATGTAGAGTCATGAGCTGTGTGCGTGTCCCTGAGCACAATATGTCCTTGCTGCAGCATTACAATAATAGTTGCAGTTGCAGCCTGAGGTGCAACATTAATGTGCTAAAGCGTACTGTAAGTGGATCAGAGCCATTAGCGTCCTTAAAGGCTGGTAAATGTTGGATGCCAATGTCCATGGATATGGGGTGCATGTGGCTGCTGCCCATGGAGCGTGCCCTCTGATATTTGGGCCAAGATTCCAATCTGGAGATCATTCAGCGCAAGCAGCATGCCAAATCCACGAGATGCTCATCTGGTTTCCTTGTTGAGTTTTCCTGGCATCTAACTGGTCTGATGAGTTTGGTGAGATATAAGGCTGAATATTAATGAGGTGAATTGGGCTGTTAACAAAGCATTTAATGACCACTAATCACCATGAGTTAGCCAATCGACAATGTCCAGTGTGAATCTCACCATGGCACTTGTGAAAAGCATGGAAATTGGCACAAGTTGCTTCTGGCATAAAGGTAGGCCCTGCTGCTCTTTTTGCCAATTCTGCCACACATCTCACCATACCCCATGTTGCTCAAACCTCTATAAGATTGTACCCTACTGTATTTAACTATAATTACCATAATATACAACCCCAAAGCTAATAAAGCTCCATAAGAAATCACAAAATAGACTGCCTATAAAGAACACAAAAGACCCATTTGCTTCAATATGGGATCATGAAAATATCAACCTAATCTCTTCAAACTTGCTTGTATAATCACAGTTATAGAATCAAACTGGAAACTGTAATTGATGTCTGGAGTTTTTGTTTGATATCCTTCAGGAGTTATGACATCTTTCAGTTTTGTTGGAATCTTGAATGCACTCAGGAATTTAAACAATTTGTATTTGATCCCTTACAAGAAGCAGTTTTTGTTTCTCATTCCGTGCTTTAATGTAATCTTACCAATACTTCTAAAGAACCTTGGTTGTATAACTTAAAACAGATGTGCTTCTGTGACTCGAAAGTGGTGTGGGGATAGGTTTAGTCCTGTTAAATTCTAAGATTGAACCTCAGTGGGTTTAAGGAGTGAGATGAAGTAACCCTTAAATCTCTTCTTATTATCTCTGCAATGCTAAAAAATTGTGTTACTCTGTATAGTTTTGGGGTAAATATGAAGCAAAATTGCATTCCCTGGTGCATTAAAACACAACACGAAACTAAGATTCACAAAATGTTTTAGCAAGACATTTCCATGCACAGAAATAACATCAGTCAGAAATAGTTGAAATTTCCCATGTCAACCAGTAGGCTACAATTATAATTTGACACATTTATGAATATGCTAAAGTTATTCAGAACTATTTTTTTTTCATTAAAGCAAAACATGAAAACTGTAAACATTGTCTAGATAATGAACTTGGGGCCACAATTGCAGGATTCACAAAAATTTACAAAATATGAATAAGAACCATGTATCGGAGTTAAAATGAAAATCACAATACACAATACATTCAAAAGTGCACAAAATATGACAAAATGTACTTCAGACAAAAATATTCTTGTCAAGGAGCAGATTGAATCAATGGAGATGGATAGCAAAACTGCATTAACTATCCATGGCATATATCAACCAGCTCAAAGCTGTTGTAATCTATTAGTCTACTGTTGTGGTCACTGAACTAAAGGGGAAAGGATTGCTCAAAATGTCCGGTTCATCTGATTTGAAAATTTCTTGATTGAGTGCTCAATATTGTTTGTAAGAAGACTTTAAAAGTAATGTTACTAAAAAGTACAACAACAAAAGCAGAAATTGCTGGAGAATCACAGCAGGTCTGGCAGCATCTGTGGAGAGAAAACAGAGTTAATGTATTGCGTCCAGTGACCCATCTTCTGGACCTGAAACATTAATTCTGATTTCGCTCCACACATGCTGCCAGACCTGCTGAGTTTTTCCAACAATTTCAGTTTTTGTTTCTGATTTTCAGCATCCACAGTTCTTTTTTTTTACCAACAAGTAGTTTTGTCATCTATTCTATCAATTTTATTGATTGGTTTGAGAAGCACTGAGAATTAAGAGGAAACTTTATGAAATGGTTTCAGCTTTGCAACAATTGTCCAAATCTGATGCATGCTCACTCATACTGCATTGCAATTTTACTGTTTTGTACACAACTTAAAATTTTTAAGGCACAGAATGTGAACATAAAACAAAAATTTAAAAATGAAATATGGATTCCGGCCATGAAAAGATAAACAGAGGGAAACTACAGTAATGAATTCTAATCAAACAATACACTGATTCAGTTTCACAAATTTGCACCGCTGCATTCCATATTAAGTTGACTAGTTTAAAGATGCGCTATTGTTTCACAGTTCAGAGTTTTGGTTTATAGTTATTATTTGTGCTTCTACAACTGATAATTTCATTTTTTATTTTGATAATTTTACATTTTTTGTTGTAAGCACCTTATTTTACCCTCTGTTTTGTTCTTTGGAGCCACAATAAATTACATACTTTAGAATGATCTTTGTTTCTCACCACACCTCTCTTCCAATCATTGAAAAACCACTGTCATGCTGGATTTCAACATGTCAGTGGTCCTTTGGTACCTCACTGAGTGTGAATCTTGATGGTGAGTATTGAATAACCATATAAGTCTGAAGTGGGCAGTCAGTATCACCTCTAGTTTCGTTTTGTCTCTGATCCAAAGTTCACATCATACATTTATGAATAAAGGTCAATGGATAACAAATAGAGGCAGAAATGACAGCTAATTCCCTCCATCACACCCTCCCTAACTCTGCAAATTAGTTTATGATCAGCACAGCACAGAGTTGCAACTGGAACAATACTGGTCCATGAATCTCAATCCACACACTAGATAATGCATTGACCAATTAAATCATCAGGGAATATGAGTTTACTTTTCTTATCTAATTAATAACATTTTCTTTTTCAGTAATGTTGCTATTCGTTGGTGGTTATCTGTATCTCCACTTCCTGCAACTTGAAGTGGGGTCTTTTTTGAACTATTTGTTGACTGAAGCTTTGGTTTTTCACCTTCAGACCAGTTGATTAGTTTTTGGGCAGTGTTAAAGTTGCCCGATTTGCAAGCACAATGCAGAGGTGTTTCTTTGGCATTATCCAAAGCATTAATGGCAGCTCCACTGATCAACAGCAATTCTATCACGTCCTCATCACTATGCTCTGCTGCTAGATGTAATGGTGTTTTCCGCCACACATTCTTAATATCAATGTTTTTATTTTTTCCAGCCAATAAAAGAGCTTTGACAACAATCTTATGGCTATTGCTGGCTGCGTAATGCATTGGCGTATTACCGTCCCTATCTTTAGTGGCAAATTTGGCCCTTCTGGTTAACATCAAAGATACAAAGTCCAAATGACCTTCATTAGCAGCTAAGTGAAGTGGTGTCTTCTTCTCTATGTTCGCTGCATTGGCATCAGCCTGATTTGACAGAAGTAGATCTGCAATGGAAGCATCCCCAACCATAGCAGCCATGTGTAAGGGTGTTTTCATATATCTGTCTTTAGCATTCACATTTGCTTTGTGCTGGATGAGACATGCTGCTGTATCTCTGTTACCTCGTTGTGAAGCAATATGTAAAGGAGTAACTCCTTCCTTTGTGACAGCATTGACTTTTGAACCTCGTGTTATCAACATTTCTATCATTGGTGGTTGGTTATGAAACGATGCAATGTGCAAGGGTATTTGGTTATCAGAGCCAACAACGTTTGCATCCATTCCATGGTCAATCAGCAGCTTTGCAACAGATAGGGAACCAACCTGGACCGCAAGGTGCAGTGCACTATCCGTATTTGGCATTCTTTCATCTAAACGTGCACCTTTATCTATCAGAATTTTGACGGATTCAGCATGGCCAAGTTCTGCTGCCAATAGTAAAGGAGTGTATTGCAAATTATTTCTGGTGTTGACATCAATACCCAGTTCAATGATAATGCCCACGGTTCTGTAAAGATTTTTCTGAACTGCTTTAAAGAGTGCATTAACTGAGAGAGTAGGGTTAATTTCATTGCTATGTTCCAAGATCAGCCTAATCAGGAATTGGTTATTACTTTTAAATGCTGCATGAATCAGGTCAACATTGACATTGGCTCCAGATTTGAGCAGTACTTTCACAGTATTGAGGTGTTCTTTGGAAATAGCATGAAATAGTGGAGTCCTGTTCTTCTCATCCATCGTGTCAACTAGAGCTCCATATTTCAGAATTGTTTGTGCTAATTTGCTTTCATCTCTGACAGCAGCCTGGTGCAGAAAGGATTTATTCTTTTTATGTTTTCTGACTTCTTCTTTCAACAGCAGCTTCACAACAGAGAAATGGTTGCTCTCTGCGGCTAATTGTAATGGACTTCTGGACTCGGTATCTTCAGCATAAATGTGTGCTCCTGCTTGGAGAAGCAGTTTGGTTGCATCTATGTGTCCCCTCTCTGCAGCCCGGTGGAGAGGTGATTGCCCTTTGTTATCCATCACCTCTATCTTTGCTCCTTTATTTAATAAATAGTTAATAATTGCAACATTTCCATGAGCAGCAGCAATGTGCAACAGAGTTTCATTGGAAGCATTTATGCCATTTACATCACTGTCTCCAAAAGCACTATCAAGACTAGAAAGATTTCCCAATGCTGCAGCTTGGTAGAGCTCAGTCAGTTCACTCCGGGCAGGAAGAGGTCTAACACTTTTTAGGGTCTGATGTGGCTTAGTTTTAGTTGTCATATTCTGCACGAATTCCTCTTCCTTTTTTTGTTTGTTCCTAGGGATTTCGTC